TATTTTTTTTAATAAATTTTCTTAAAATTTTTATTAAGTTTAAAAGTTTAAAAATTTTTTATATTATTTTTGGGTAATATTTTTTAATTTGATAATTATTATTTATTATATTTTATTATTATTGAAAAAATATATAATTATTTTTTAAACCTTTTAAAAAAATATTAAATTAAATTATTTAATTTATTATTTAAATTAAATAATTTATTTAATTAAAATTATTATATTAATTTAATATATTTATATTATAATATTATATATTATTTATAAAGTTTAATATTATTAATTAAATTATTTTTAATTATTTTTGTAATTTTTATTTATTAAATATATAAAAAATCGAAAAAATTTATAAGTTTTTTTTATTTATTTATATAATTAAATTAATTAATTAAATAAGTTAATAATAATGAAATTAATAATGTTAATTTTAAATATATTTCGTATAATTATTTTATAATTTTACAATTTATATAAAATAAAAATATAGTTATTATTAAAATATATTAAATTTATATTATCGGTTTAAATCGAAAGTGGTTTTAAAATATTAAATTAAATTAAAAAACGTTTTTAATATTTATTTTAAAAATATTTTTTAAAAAGGTTTTGGTTAAACGTTAATTTAATTATATGTTTATAAAATATAAAATTTTTAAGTTTTTTTATAAATTTTTTTTTTAATTAAATAAAAAAAGAAGTAATTTTTAAAAGTATAAAATTTAATATAAAAAAATACTTTAATTTAATTTTTTTTTTAATAAATAATAATAATAAAAAAAAAGTAATTAAAATAAAAAAAAGATTATTAATAAAAAAAAGTAATAAAAGGTTTTTTTTAAATTTTATTAAATTTTAATTTAAAGTTTTAATATAAAATAAAATAAATAATAATTTAAAATATACGTATTATTTCGAAATATTAGATTTTTTTAAAATAATAAAAAATTATTTATAATAAAAGTTATAAAAAGTTTAAAATATAATTAAAATTATTAATAATTTTTTAAAGTTTTAAAGTTTTTAATTTTTCCTTTTTTTTAAAAAAAAGATTTTGACTTATTTGTAAATAATTTAAAATATATATTTTTTAATTTAATTAAGTTTTTATTAATGTGTTAGCTTTGTTTATATATAATTGTATAGTTATATAATATTCCTTATTTAATAAATTTTAAAATAGTTATTTTATATCTTTTATTGGTTGTTATCTTTAATCAATAGTTTTTTGGCATTACTATCCGTATGATAATAGGTTATTTATATGTCGAGGGGTTAGGGTGAAGCAAGTTCCTAAGTTCTAACAGATCACGCATCTAGGTAGGGAATAATTGCAAGCATTCCTTGTTAGAAGGAATCCCGAATGGGTATTTACTTTGCACCCAGCCACGCCTATGCATTCTTTCGCGGCTCTGTTTAAACTTCGCAAGAAAGCGGGGACACCCCTGAGATGGATCCGGTCCCAGATCCTTTAGACAATGTCTGTGATATGTGCTATGCCTGCCCTACGGCTGATCCTTGTTCTCGTAAAGTTTTCCTAAAATAGGAAAAGCAGGTAAGGGGGCATCAAAACCATCCATCGAGTTTCCTTGGTGCTGTAGGTAACGTATGTGTGAATTATACGATGCCAGGGACTATTTGCAGCCTCGTATAGAGCAATATACGCCAAGTGAGATGTCTACCTTCTGGTTTAGTTCTGCTTTAACCGGTTGCTTTTGAAGTACACCACATGTCAATTATAGCTGTTTGCTTTTTTGTCTGATGCAGTACCACACCAGTTACTCTGCTACGAGGGTCTCTTACAGTCTAAGTAGGTGTTTAGCCCCTATTCATGACATATATCCTCCGTGGAATACGACGAGTTCCAAAGGGAAGAGAGCGTGATAATACAAATCTGTCAAAGTCATAAATGAAAAGAGGGGATGTTGCGTCTACCTAACTTCTCTGATCTTAGAGCTAGGGAAGGAGTTGCAGTATATACTAGTTTTTGGATTGATAACTCAAATATTCTCTTCCATACCTTGATTTACTCTCTCTCTGGGTGTGGTTAGTGGCAACCCTGTTGAGTGATGAGTTTTATGAAAGGGACCGGTAGCTCGGAATAGATAATATGAACAAAAACATCATAATTTGGGCTTAATATGTTTCAACAACGATAATATGTACGATTCTTAGGACATAGTTAAATGCTAGAATCTTCGGGGCGAAATCTGGAGTAGCTGTCGACTTCAGTTAAAGAAAAGTAACCTAACAAGCCACGACTTTTGCCAAGGAAAAGACAGGGTCGTAGGGTAGTTTAATGTCGGTAGATTTTCAGCCAGTAAATCAAAACATAGAAAGTATATTACCTAACGCAGTTGTTTAGGTAGTTGCATATAACCTAGCTTTATATCTTAGTAACATGTAGCGGGAATAGGTATTAGAGAAAATTGTTGTTGACTTCAGAACAATATAGTGAGATCGGACTGGACGACGGAACTTTGTTGTGAGCCCGGATTGCAATTTGCCCAAACTTAACACCGGTAATGTTCGAGGTCACCTCCACATAGACCTCGGTGATATACATTTATGTCGTGGGAACTTTGTAAAGAATGTCTGTTTGAACCCGTACGCTGCCACTAGAGTAGCCTATAAGAGTCTCTACTTTCTATTTTTTAAACACTATCACACGTACTAAACCGTGAAAACCCCTGGCGTTCTAACTCCGTCCTAGCTGGCTGGGTTGGTATGTACATCCTGCCCTGTTGGCTCTACGCGCATTACGAAACGATGCCTTTGTAGAAGACCCAGTCGCTTCTAATCCAATGATAATATCACTTGTTTCTTTAAAGGCTATCCGAGTATAAGCTGATTAAAACGAGTATTTACCTCGCCTATATATCATATATCAACATTTCCCACATAACTACTTCACTGAATGAGGTAAAGCCATATTAAACCCTGGGCCCGATAGAAGTTATGAGTCTAAGCCTTCTAAACCTAGAGACCCTATACGAGGCAGTGAGGCGTAGTATATCTTAGGTTGTCATATTTCTCATATATATGGGATATATCGAGGTCTGTATAATTTATACATCTGCACGCTGCACTGCACTAACACGGCATATATAATTCGATTAAGGGGACTACGTGTTGAATCCACAACGCGATGGATCGTCAACCCTTGTCGATATATCTGCCGTACATGTGTACCGTCTTCACTTCCGGCCTCCTTTTTTTCTCATCATTTGACAATTTCTAGCAATTACCTGATAGTAGGTTGTTTCATTATTTTATGCCTTGGGTACTTTTATGTATATATAGGAGGTAGACAACGCGACCTGTTTGTTTCCTTCGCGTCACGCCACGTGAATTATTACTATCTGCGCAGTGTACTGCATGTAATCACACGTGGGAGAAGACTTAGCCAAGGCCCCCCCATGATTCCTAATATCCTTAACCTGGGTGGTTGCCCCGGGTGTCTATCGGAGATTGTCATTACATACCTACACGTGTGCTTAGGGTAGATCACATAATAAAAATTCCTTATACGATACGAGATTATTAAAGGACCGTGCCAATTCCAGAAGAAAAGAAAATAAAATAAAAGAAAGGCATATGCCGTTAGCTTATTCGCAGTAAAGTTTCTAGCTCTAAGGAGGCGGCGGAGCTAAACTTAATTGCTACTTCCGTTGGCTGTACCGCTGCAGTGTAGCATTAAGAATTTACACTAGTAGTACACGTATTGAGAATAGTACATCTTCGTACACCTATGTTAGGTGTGTATATATGTACCTAAGGTGCATAAACCTAACGTCATCGCCGTTGATCGGCAGCGCTAAGCTTAACCTTCTCGAAAATCTAAAGTTAAGGGGTGGGAAATCCATTACCCGGACCCCTGCTGCTTTTAGTCATTAGCAACGGAGAATATGACCTTATTAAGCCACGCGCAAAGGGAATAACCTTACATAGGATAAGGTATTCTGGAACGCCTTTAGATCCGTTACATGGTTACATCGCAACGGTATTTTTTTTTAACCCACATTTTTGGTTTTGAGTTCTGTCTCGATTGTGGGGCGAACCACATCCCGAAGTACGAAGCACCTAGGTAGTTATCCCAAGTACCTAGCTAAAGGTAATCTACACTACCTGTCTTGCCAGCCAAAATGGAACAACACGAAGAAGAAAATGAAACAAAACTTCAAGCCCCCCCAGCCGTCCCGCCGTCCGTGCTAAAAAAAAAAGGACCCTAGTGCCACGGGAACTACGAGAAGTTGGTAATACGTACGAAATACGTCGCAGATATCATACAATTACAGCACGAGCATGGTCCCATGACCGCTCCAGATAAGTAAGAGAAAAACGCGTCTTTTGCCAAGTCAAGCTGGTGGCCGAAAATATCCTGCTAGTATATCATTTAACTAGCGTACCTAGGTTAGATAGTATATATTATGTATGTATAACGCGTTATGTGCATAGGCTGTAAGCTACATGTGCTTGGTTACCGCTTGTTGGGTCCATAAACAGTCGAGTTTGAGTTTAAGTTGATGAACCTTATTTAACCTCATAGGCAACCAACATGGATTATCGTATACATACAGGTATGTACTTCGTACTTAAAGACAATTGATGTAAGCATGTATGTACGTACATAGACCAGGCAAGAATAAACGGGATGCGTTACAGGGGGACATCGTGTCTACCATGCCGATCTCTAATCCCTGTAATTCTCCCCCTAGTCTCGGCGAGGACCAGATTTCAAATAGTATGGTATGTACTTACGTACGAAGTGGATGGGAAACCAGCGGTAAACAATGCAAGTCTAAAATATCTGATTTCATGATATCGCATCGCTAACCTATCTACCCCTTCACAAATCCTCCTGATCTCAACCTTGTATGCCCTGAGGCCCCATGGAATATGCCTGGCCCATGAGGGCGTCCATGCTCTGTTGTACGCGACTAAGCTATTTACGAAGCGCTAAATTAATATCGAGAGAGTACTTGAGCTCTGTCATGACTATCGTGAAGCTGAACCGTAACTCCGACCCGCTGAGTATGCCTAGTAGATAGTAGAAAAACACCATGCCAAAGAAAAGACAAGGCCCTACCCCTCGCCTTGAATGCAATTTTTGAACGCCTGACCAATGCCAGCTGGATTCCCACCGTGAAGTCCTCAAGAGTCCTCAAAGGTAAAATTTGCGATTAAGAGATTGTATTGCCCGATTATCCTCCCCTCTAAACATATCCGTGGGTGCTGGTACACCAGATGCTCCCGCTGGGAGAGCTCGGGGTGAACTGCTCGCGCTATTATTGCTACCCGGATTTGCGCTATTTGGTTCGGAGTTAGCTGGTGTCCGGTTGAGAAGCGCTGATAAGCTGGCTTTGTTTGCATTGCCATTAACGCTCTCCGAAGTCATTTGCCTTGGCGGCGAAACAGAATGATTTCTTGGGGGCGTCAACCCTCGAGATGCTGTAGGTATCGCGGGGAGTGGACCCTGTGGATTGCGTGCGCTTGTTGCTGCTAGGCGGGGATCTATAACGGCTTGCACGGCTTGCGCAGCTTTCGCGGCTTGTGCGGCCTGAGCGGCCTGGGCAGCTTGGATTTGAAGATGCTGGGATTGCGGAGAGAGGCTCGGAGCACGCCCAGGTACTGGGTAATGTCTGGCTAGAGTAGGCGGAGGTAGTCGATCACTCTCGTAGGTAAGACCTTTGGGATAAATGGGAGCCTGGGCGGAAGGCGCTGAAGTTGGCGGTAGCGGGGGTAGTTGATGTGGCCTTGGAGGAGGATGCTGCGGCTGAGGCCGAACCTGATGCTTCATCTCTGGTGTCAGCTTCCCTTGCATAAAGGGAGGAGTCTGATTGGGTGAGGGTGGCCATTGGCCTTGCCATGGTTGTTGGTTCCAAGCACCGTGATAGTTATTATAGGGTTGCTGCTCAAGACTGCCATTGTGAGTAGTGTACGGCTGCATAGGTGTCCTTGTTAAAGCAGGCGGGTTTGTCTCGTGAAGGCTTGATTCGGGATACATGCCCTTTACAGGGATAATATGTCGAAGTTGAGGATCCGTAGTTGGCTGAAGCATATCGCCGGCCCCAGCGTGTGGTCGGGAGTAATATGAGATCAAGTGGAGGTGCTGGCCCTGCGACGTCGTTATGCTGAATGATTGCTTCATCAAGCCATCCGCCTTGTATCTATAACCCTCCGGCTCACCATCCTGGTCTTCCTCGCTAAGTCGACCGCTATCAGGTGTCCTTCCGTTACTTCGTCGCGTTGTACCGAATGTGGTGCCTCGTTTACCCTCCATCTCTCTATACGTGAGAAAGCTGCCAGAAACCCTGCTCGCACTCCAAGATTTCCCGTCGGTCCACCTGCGCATACCAGCTTCCCTCTCATCCCATACAAAAACTGAGCCAGATGTGATGGATTGTCGTTCTTTCTCCGATAATCGTCTTTGTACTCGAGGCAGTAAACCCAGCCTACAAGCTTCAAAGAGCTTGATTGCATCTGCGGGTGTTCGTACGTATCCGCGATAAGTCTCCATCTTTTCCCTGCTTGCCTACTACGGAAAAACAAAAAGAAGAAAAAAAATAGATGTGACAGAGGTTTGCTAGATGTAAAATCGAAGGGAGAAAAGGTGGTACTTGATTCCTTGCCAGGTAATTAGGTCTTGTAATCCTACTACCCACCCACCATATCAGATCCACACACTGGCTTCAATCGAGGTGGGTCATCAGACAGTGAGCGGCTGAAGACTATTGCTGCGGATAATGGAGAAGCTTGCGTGGTTAGGGTCGACCCTAGTCTTGGTAGCTGAAGAAGTGAGAATGCAAGTGTTGTCTTGGCGTTTCTAAATTGCGGGTAACTCGTGTTGATAGTCGGGGCCCCTAGATAATTAACGGTTCAGGCGTTACGGAACTAGAGCCGAGTGTCCAGACTCGTGGATTCCTTGCCTAGGGAGTTATCATGTTAGCTCTCCCAGTCGAGGCATATAGGGGCGTAATTATGCAGTACATGACATGTCTATATGTATCTGATAGGCTTACGAGATGTGTAGAATAGGAACAAGAAAGGAATAGTTGAACAGAATTTATATTGCTGCCAAAGCTCAAGGGACGCAAGCTGACTGCAATCTTTACTTGAGTCGTCACCAAGACCTGAGTCTTAGGACTAATTGTCTCGTCCTAGGCTTCTCTTGGACTCAGTATAGCCAGCTAAGCCAATGCAACGCGCTTGACGAAGAGGTTAATAATGCAGACCAAATGCCGGATAGATGGTCTCACTAGGATAGCTTCCTTAAACGGGCTGGCTTGACTCGCCATCCCACACCGCGGGTCGAATCTAGAACTCGATGCAGGTTTGACTTTGGGAGAGTGTGGAAGTGAACTTAAAAGAAAATATACTAACTAGAGCAAATAGAAATGGTACATACCTATGTGGTAGGCAAATTGGTAGCCGGCCTGGAGCCAAAATAAATTTAAATAAAGTCAAACTTAATGGAGTGACCTCACACCGAACGTTATACGTAGAATGGGCACTGGAGTAGATATCCTGGGTGGGAAAATGAGGACATCAAATGGGAGAGCCAGGTAGAGCCAAATACTTTGATGGTTGACAGAGTTTTCAAGGATTTCCGATGGTGCCGCTTCAAGTAAAAAAAGGTCCAACCAGGTCATAGAAATTTCCCGAGGTGTCCTTTCGGGATATGAGATGTGGTTGGACGTGGCAGATGAGGTACTATTGCCTTCAGACAATTAGCGACCTAAGTCAAGGAGGAGGGGTATCCCCAATCCAGCTGGAATCGATTTGGAATTATAGGGTGCTATAAAAGCGGAACAAGAACGAATCTACACGTCTTGTAAGTAAGTGATCCTACGAGAATAGGTAGAATGGTAGTCTAGATGGGGAAAAGCGTTTGCTTTTATACAGGATTGGAGAAAACAAGTTGAAAACAAGTTGAATAATTAAACTGTGAGGTTGTAAAACCGGGGTTATCGAAAGTTTAAGAGGCTGCTTTGCTTACCAGGGTTTGATAGGTGACTTGTAAGTTTTTAAAGTTTTGTGCATGTATATTCGAGGAAGGCTGTTGGTGGTGGGGATGACGACTTTAGAAGACCCTAAGACCCGAGCCCGAGTCAGCTTGTAGTGGATTGATTGAGAGAGGTATAATAGCCTGCCGGGTTGGCGTTATCGAGTCTCCTTGTCTCCTTCGAGGAAGCTGACCATGAAATAATTAAGCTTGGTTGGGCACGTGTGAAGTTGGAACTAATAAAATAAGCTCCCAGCGTCGAAAGACCCTTGCCGCTCTTTTTGTCTTTTTTTTAAAATAAGGCCTGAAGAGGAATGGGGTTGACCGTTTACTTTTTTTTCTCCCCTACGTAACAGATCTAGATGGTCTAATAATTGCCCCTTTCGTTGGTTCTTCTTCCTTTACACCCTGGCCCCTCCTTGTATCGATTCTCGTTCTATTTCGTACCTACACAAGTCAAGTTTTCGTGAAGATGCCGAAGAGATAGGCTGCAGTGTGAATTTGTTAAAATGCCGATCTGGTATTAATCTACACTTGCGGCTGCAAGTAGATATTCAGCCTTCGGGTAGGACCTAAGACGACCGGTAGTGGCAAGATATGAAACAACCAGGCAGGTTGACACGGAGCCTGTCTTTCGAGGTGAATGGTCGATTAATCAATCGACTTGGGGTAGAATGTTGGGAAAGATGTGAATAGATAAAGTGGACGGATAGTAGATAAAGGTAAAAGGGAAAAGTAAATAAATTATGACGGGATGATGGAATTTTGAGGCAAGGGAAAGTGCGGGAGAGGAAAGCACATACAAAACGGATATTACCACAATAATGTGAATAAATAAGCTTCCCAATTAATTCAAGCTTATTAACCTTATTTTGCAACGTCTTTCCGATTTGATTTTTTTCGGCGAGGTTGCGGTCCCACGGTTACACGGGTCCAAGCATCTCGCAGCGGCTCAAGTACTTTGTACCCACTTTACAGGGGACAGTTAGCGCCCGTCGCCAAGACCTTCAAAGGCTCCAGTCCCCGGTACCAACGGCGGTATCCAATATTCCCCTTCAGCAGCTAATCGGCCAAGGATTCCAGGGATTGAGTACCAGGCTTTACCTGGCATTGCGCTGCCTTAGGTGGGCTAGGCATTACTATACGTACCTACATAGGTACTTTGTGTACAATTCATCCTCCCCGTGATACTTATACCACGATACTTGAATATGTACATTAATGCGTACATATATATGTAACTTATGTGCATATGCCAGATAATGTACATGTATCTACCTAAGGTATGTATTAAGATGAAGGCTTAAGATAAAATGTACCTTAGGTACTCCACAGAAATGTAAAGCTGCGAGAGGCTCGTAGCTTAATCTACATCCAACAGAGGGGAAAGGAAAAAAAAGAAAAAGGAAGCAGGGGAGATATTCATGGAAAGCGAAACCAAAGTCTCTCTTTTGAGGTATGTTACAGCTGAGCGATGTTCACCGGACTCACTAGAAGAATCATCCTTCCGAGGTCTAATCCAAGTCAATTATTTTAGTGTCCTAGCTATAAGCCAAGCCCAACATTCATTTTCCGCCTTATGAAGTACAAGTGTTCCATATGGGGAAATGCGAAAGACCGTTCATTCGCTTACACATGCCTTTGAACTTTCTCATGTTAATCAGCACAGACTGGCGAAAGGTTATCCATCCATCAACATTAAGAAATAGTCCTTCATCAACGCTTAATAAGTTAAATTTACAGCATATTGCGCATCACTGGAGATGAGCTACATCGGGGACATATGGAAATTTAAACAGCATCCCCCAAGACTCCTTCGCCATACTTTTGTTTTCCCATGTGGCAACCATCCCTGGTGGTTTCTAGCTCCTGAAACTAGAAGAGTCTACGGAAGAGACCTTCGATGTCCAAGTTCGGTGGAATACGGTTCACAATCTCCTAAACAGACAAGAAATCGTACCAGGTCGGCCTGGGCTCCCCGATGGTTAGACGAGGCATAGCACATACATAGGGGCAAGAGAACGTCGGCGCTATCAATGCCCAACTCGCTAAGCAGAACCTGCCACAATCTGTCTACATTCTAAACGGTAACTTTTTTAATATGGTTATTATAAAGTTACCTAGTTGTGCGAAGCTCACGAGCTCTAGAGCTTGGGGAGGCATGACAGGTCAGGTCAAAACATAGTGCGTCTCGACTGTCGAACCACAAACCTTATCGTCATCGAGGGCAATCCGTCTCGCCAACCCTGAGACACATCACGACAAGCCTTTGTGTTTCCGTAGTTTAATCACGTCCTCTGTCTTACTGTTTGAATCCCAGAACGGGATCCCGTGTACCGCAGTGTTGTCATTCTCGGACAGGACGTCACCGCTTTCGGGGGTTCCTTGCCTCTTTCGTCGCTGCTGAGGTGATCACGGCATTCTGTATGACACGAATGAAGCTTCTACTCATGTCCGTCTCACATGTCATCTCCGAGCAACATTGCCTCGAGGGTCTAGGATACACGGGCACAACCACAGACCCTCACATCATCAATACCCATCGTGCAAGTCTTAGGTGGCTATTACAATCCCTCGCGGGTAAATGAGCGATCTTAGAAAGCTATACGGCAAGCCGCACCCGTCGGCATGAAAAACTGATCTTAGTTGATGCCACCTATCTGTACCAATATCTGAATGATCTGGTAGTGACCAGATATATCACCTGGGAGGTTCAATATTGCTTTAAGCCGAAAAGCGCTGCCGAGTTTTATGCAAGGACCAGGTAATCCCGCAGCTTGCAAGTCATGAATTCGGTGTGCCGAAAACGATTGCGGTAACGAGTACATAAATACCTACCTACCTATCTTGCTTGCTATTGTCAGACGAAAGGGCAATTTTTTCTCTTGAGGAAAAAATAAAAATTAGCACAAAGGGCAAACTTTTTAACGCTGCTGACGAAGCCGAGGCAAACGTCTTTTTTTCATATCTAATGCATAGAACAAGCGAAGAACACCGTTGCTGTATGTACGTATCTGCATCCGACACAAATGGCCATTCGTCCTAGTGCCGGCGGCATTGGAACTTGGCTGATCATTGGCACACGGCACAGTAGTGAGTCCCGCTATTGGTGATCTAGCTACCATTCACCCGTTTGAAGAGACCGACATGAGCCCATATGAATACTGAAGATCGCCAATTCCCCTTCTTACGTTTCATTGTAATGCATCAGATCGTGAAACTGCCGACATACGGCTCTTCGTTAAATCATAACTTTAGGGTTTGGAGAATGAAGATCATATTTGGCTGCGTTGCGCCGTTAAACAGCTAGACTTACTAGATACCTGCTACACAGACAAAGGTCGCGGTGGCTTGATACTTGATATCGCACAGCCATAATTAGTAGCCCGCTAGAATTTCCCAAGGAAGGGATCTGGACCGTAGTATTCGATCGCCCGGATGGAGTAATCCCTCGAACCCGCAGCTGGCACTCAGCACATGACATTAATAATGCTTATAGGTAAATAATCCTACTATCTAGGTACTAACTAAGAATATACGAACGATACTTATGTCGATGTTCTAGGTTCTAACCATTCAAGGGACCCAAGATCTCTAAAGGATTCAAGCTTCTTTTGTGTTGGCCCTGGGGTGCATATGGACCACCCATAATACCCAGACGATCCAGATAACTGTTGTAATAAGGGGAGATGCATAAAGGAGCGAATGTAATTGTCGGTGAGCCGGACAACTCGTATCATAGTCTAAGCAACCACCCACGAAGCAAACAAGTGTTTTGCGTTAATGCATATTACGGGTAGGCTTGACTCTTCCTCGTTAGGCTATAACCGAAGTAGAGGCGGCCGCCCAGGCCGATCAACCCATGAAAGCGAATGTTTTCTCTCTGGTCATCATCTTTAAGCGTCCTTCGCCCAAGTCTGCGCTGGGAATGGATTGGTCT